CATGATTAGATGTAGATTTTTTATCATTCAAGAAGCCCTATGCTGCTTAAATAAGTGTTACTCCCTCTGTCCCAATTCAATTTATGTGACACCCTTTGATTGGGCATGGTATTTAAGAAAGTTAGGGAGACTTCTGAAACTTGTGGTTTACAACAAGCATCAATGTTTGTGTGGTTTTAAATCATCTTATTAAGGGGTTCTTTTGGTATTAGGATAAGAGATAATAATTCTGGGATAAAATGCAAGATCATTTTATCCTGCATTTTGTTAGGGTTATTAGTTAGTCCCAAGATTATTTGTACTATAGTGATGCGATAAGTTATGCATAATATATTAATGTATATGGGATACTAATTCCATCCTCCATACCAAACAACGAACCCAAGGGTAAAATGAGAATTTTAAAATTAAATTATTCCTAAATATAATTGTGACAAATTAAAAAGGGAAGTGCCCCACAAAATAGGGACAAAGGGAGTCTCTTATGGAAGAACTAAAAATGTTTTCGATCCATTTCCATCAAAAGAAGTGCTTGACCAGATATTTCCTCATGAGTACTTTTCCATTTGTAGGAACCATCTATTCATCAAATCTTGTAACTATCTGGAGGATTAATGAGTTCTTTTCTCAGGGTCATCTTTGCTTTTCCACTCGCCCCTTAAAAATTACCAATCAATCAACTAAGCTCTTTTCCCAAACAGTTGGGGATTATCTGTGTTCATTAGAAATTTTTAGTTTTTTTATGTTCGTAACAACTAGTACAACATCTACACCTCAATTCTAAGTAAGTTGGGCTGGTTATATGGCCTTCTGTCATATTATTCTCTGTGTGCTACTTGAATCTTCTTCAAATGTGCTCTTTGATCAGTTGATGTTCATAACCTACTTATCGTTTCTCTCTCTTCCTTACTTTCTGAATGTTGGGTTGACAAAAACTTCTTGTTGTAGCCGTTTATTAGTGATTGTGCTACTTCTCAATTTTCTGTTGCATATGTCTACTGTATATGAAACCAAACTCATATTTTTGCTTGATTCGGTTACAGGGTCAGTATACACTGGTGTTGATTTTTGCAAAAAGTTGTGTGGGGTATCCATTATTCGAAGGTGAGATTAGATCAGTCATTAACAAGGTTTCTTCATCCTGGGATATATCCTGGTTAAAGATAAAGAAGGAATTGAAATTGCACTGAGCTAGATATCTCTTCATTTTTTTAAAAAATTCAGTGGATCTCTTCACGTGTTAGCGCAAGTATGACCAATTACTGATTTGTTGGGTTTCTGTCCTCCAGTGAGAAAAATTAGTTCTTCCTCTGTCTAGTCTCCACTCTAGACTTGTGCCAAGCAAAGTGATACTTCCTTTTTTCTCTGCTTTTCATGTGTTTTTGTTGAGTTAAGTTAAATCATTTAAGATCTGACTCTCGTATAATGAGCCTTCTTCCAAGGGAATTGTACCCCCATAGATATGTTACAAGTATGGGAGTTCAAATATATAACTGTAATTTTTTTTTGGTTTTACTTTGCATTTTTTTAATCACTGTCATAAAGTTGTCTCCTTGTCAGAAGAAAGACAAGGAGAATTTACCTTTAGCTTGCTATACTTTCCAAACATGTGTATAAACAGATTCCTATATAAACAGTTTGTTTATAATTTAATTTTCTTTAAACTCCGCCGATCCTAAATCGGGTGAGATAATTGTCCATGCAAGATGTCAAGGCTAGTGAAGAAATTTTATTATTGTAAATCGGAAATGGGTCTGAAAGTAAACCATTGATGCTATATAAGTTCACTTGTTGACAAATGTGAGAGTATATCGCCCTTTGAATAGTGATGTGTGTGCGTGTGTGTTTGTGAAAATTCCAGAAAGGAAATTATCATAATTGACTTGGGAGTTTTGATAGTTGCACATAGGTAAAGATACAGGAAATTGAATTCTTTGAATTGTTCAAGACTTTTGTAAATGATATCCCCTCTTAGTTCAAGTAATGTATGACACTGGGACAGCTTCCCAAAATTTTCTTTTCCTTTTGATTCTATCTTGTCTCCTTAGTTAGCTGTCGAAGAACATATACTAGTGTATTCTCCGGATAGGACCACTTTTCTAGTTCTTAATCAGCACTGATTTGACTACTGAGAATTTTGAACAAGGGATGTAGAGACAAACCTTACAAAAAAGGGTGTAAATCACAGTTTCGTATCATTATGTTACATTTTGGATTACTGGGTCATGAGGTGTAATTGATTCTATTAGGGTTTGGAAAATAAATGTGGTGGGATAGTCCTGGTTTATTGGTATTTATGCATCCATAAAGTGGTTTAATGTTGTACATTGGGATCTCTGCTTTATATTCAGGACCAACTCATTTGCGTAATATTTATGTTTATATGCAGTGGTGAAAGCATGGAAAATGCACTTCGTGCTTGCTGTAAGGGTATTAAAATTGGGAAAATTCTGATCCACCGTGATGGTGACAATGGGAAACAGGTATTCTTTTCCTTTTCTGTTTCCACATTGACAGGACACCATGGCTAATGTGGTGAATTGCATCTGAGCAGCTCATATATGAAAAGCTTCCAAAAGACATATCAGAGCGGCATGTCCTGCTTCTGGACCCGGTACTTGCTACAGGTAATGTATTTTGGAACCCGTGACATCTAGCTTTTGGAATTTCCCATGTGACGATCATTTGTTTGGGAAACCAAATCTCCTACTTGTTGAAAGAGTTTGTTTTCTCCTGTAGGTGATCTCAGTTTCTTATATCCATTGTTTACTTTGGGACTGGGAAATCCTTCCTCTTTTGCTTTTAGTATTGTGGAAAGATAAATTAAGGGGAAAGAGGATGTTAGTTATGTGGATCAGGACTCCAGAGATTAAAATATAGTAACAGTGCAGTTACTTGAGTTCTTTTACCCGGTCTGGGGACGAAATGTTGTTTTCTTGACTTGCTCTTGTAGATTAAAAAAATAGAATTTGATTATATATGATTTTTCCTGTGAAGGTAATTCTGCTAACCAGGCAATTGAACTGCTCATACAGAAAGGAGTTCCAGAATCCCACATTATTTTCCTAAACCTCATCTCTGTGAGTTACTGCCTCTTTGTACGTCAGAGATATTTGCACTGCATTTCACCATGTATTGACTTGTGCTATCTTTTCCTGTAGGCACCTGAAGGAATACATTGTGTTTGCAAACGATTCCCTTCTTTAAAAATTGTCACGTCAGAGATTGATCAGAGTTTAAATGAAGAGTACCGTGTCATTCCAGGTTTGGGAGAGTTTGGTGATCGGTACTTTGGCACTGATGACTGATAACTACACATTCTGCAAAGAGTCTCAGTATTGATGTGCTCGCTCTTAAATAGGAACTTTAGAACCCTCCAATTGGGGAGATCTGTGATCTCTTTTTTTCTGGTTTATCAACTATTTCAGCACAAGTATAGAGAACACTGATACTGGAAATTCTTAATGGATGTCGGTCGATGTAAAATCTAAACGGCCTCTTGCTATATTGAAGCACATATTGCTTAATTTGAAACATGCATCTCTCTTTAAATGTGAATCAGTTATTTTGAATGCTCTGTTGGTTGAGATGGCTGCAAATTTGAACTCATTTGAGCCGTGTGTTTGTGTCCTCTGCACTTTTGAAACTGCTCGCCTCTTAAATATAGTACCTTCACTTTCGCTAGACTGAACAGGCAGACGTGTTAGAGGTGCAATAGACTTGGAAGTGGATAGAAATGCTTGTGTGAGTTGTCTTCGTATCTGCATAATCTTGGTGGTAGTGTTATTCGAGTGGATCATAGCATGTGCACCGTAGAATAATTGAGGTGCATGCTAGTTGTGATTTCTTGTTATGATTTTATAGTTTAGAGTTTTTTGAATAATTACAAAACCTATAATTTAAGTGGTACAAATAGTATCTTTCATACAATAGGAGTGATTTTCTATTACATATCTATCATCAAAACATAAGAATGCCAAGGTATACACAATACAAACTATTTCTGCAGTAAAATATATCAAGTTGGGTCATTCGCATAACATATCCCTATTGTGGGTGGCTGTATATTTTTTTTTAAAAAAAATTATGTGGTTTTTAGTATTTGCTCATCAATATATTAATTAACTAACAAGAAGAAGAAGAAGAAAATCTAACAAAGTGGAGTGTGGAAAGAATAGATCATACCCATAATTTATCTCTACTTTGGACCGTCATAAACTACAGAAGAATAATTCAATAATTGACGTATAAGGAACAACAAATAGTAACATGAATTGATGGGAAAGAAACTTCAACATACTGTGATTACTAATATGAATCAAATGTTGATGACAACACACGTATGTACTAATCTTTTATTCTAATCAATGTCTTTCACGCCCTTTTATTTTTTGTTATGTTTTTGGCACTTGAAACTCTGTCATGTCTTATTTATTCATCTTTTCAATACTTTCTCAGTCTATCTCTATCTCTCCTAAAATCATTTATGACCAACCTCTCACACCTCCAAAGTCCAATTTAACATTTGCTTTTCACATGTGTGAATCATCTCAACTTAGCTTACTCCATCTAGTCCTCCATTAAAGCCCTTACATGTTGTCATAGATATCCTCATTTCTAATAGTATATCTCCTAATATATCCACACATCGATCATTTCACAACTTTCATCTTTTGAACGTGAGTGCTCTTGAGTAACTAACGCTCCATATATTCCATCCAACAAAATTAGTTTAACCATCACTCCATAAACAAATTAGAGACCCCAAAATAAAACCTATCGACACTAAAATAACAAACAACTTTTGATGAAACATAAACTTATATTTTTATATCATAATACTTCACCAATTATGTCGTAAAAGATTTAATAATTATCCCCCTAACACTAGAATAACAAAAATAATTTTTTTTGTTGAAAAAAAAAAGAATTTTTGTGCCCTATTCCAAAAAAAAAGAGTTAGGTTGTAATTGTATAGCCCATAGAAAAATGATGTCTCCATTGTTCCATTTGTCAAAAGGTAGCAGCCAATTTCAATTTGACTACACTCTTTCTTCACCTAATTCCTTTCATCTTCTTCTTCTTCTTCCTGTTTCTTCTACGTGCTTCTAACTCCTATATCACAGATCAAAAATCCGGCGGCAGGGTGCAGAAGAATGGGTGTTGGACGTGAAGTAGCAATTTCATTGGATGGAGTTAGGGACAAGAACATGATGCAACTCAAAAAAATCAACACCGCTATTTTCCCAGTACGCTACAACGATAAGTATTACACTGATGCCATTGCCTCTGGTGATTTCACCAGGCTAGGTTCGTATTCTCTTTTTGAGTTTTTGTGATGGGTTCTTCGTTTTGCATAAAAGTAGGTGTACAAAAGTTTTTTTTTTTTATGTAGAAGGTGCCAATAAAGGTTATGTCTATAGTGATTCATTCCTATGAAACAAGGATCTGATTCGAATTGTGGGGGTCAAGCTTGTTAATGGTCATTATGAATTTGGACATGGATTAGATAAGTTTACATAGTGGGGGGAAATATATAAAAAGTGCATTTAGTTTTTAATGTTGTTAATAGCAATTACAGGAATATGCTGATAAAAGAAAATGGATTATAGCCATGAAACAAGAAAAACTATAGGTAGATTTGAAACTTATAAGAGGGAACTACAATTCTTACGGTATTACACATTGCTACAACCCATGAGTCCTCAATCCCACATTAGCTGGGTTTAGCTATATGAATCCTCTATATCCATTTTCTGCATTAATTTGTTTGTTTAGTAGCTCATAACAAGAATGACTCCGGAAAATTGAGGCTTTTTTCCGAAAAAGTTGTTTCTTGGATGAGCTAAGTTTAAGTAGTCACATGACTCCTAATTAGAGAAGGGAGTTAGTTCAAACTCCAAAGGGGGTTCCATACCTGTATGTGGTAGTTTTACACTCTGGTATATTTGGATAAATACATTACTCTCTGAAAAGGAAATGAACCTCTTAATTGTAGTGTTGTCCTTTAGGGTCTCTTCTTTTGCTCAATTTATTTGGCTGTTATAGTTTGTAGTTGTACTCTGGATTTTCCTTTCCCTTATTTGCTGATGGATTGTCTTAGGCTGAAATTTGCTGTAATTGTTTTCTGTCTGTATCACCCAACTGTTAACAGTCTGAATAAATCTGTATTTTCATTGAAGACGTATACGACCTCAACATTGTATCTATATTTCTTAGAAACACAATCATCTCAATGCCCCAGCCCATTACTAATGATGCAGTGCACAACCCCCTTTTTTTATGTTTACACAGTAAATATAACAATGATAACAACCTTATATGTTACTAAAACTAAAGATGTTAAATTGACCTACCTCAGTATAGCCAATATCAAAATTAATTTGAATACTGGAATGTATAATGTGAAAGCGCCTGCTTGCATAGGTATGGAACTAAGGATTTCTTACTTCAATTCTGAGTTGTTGGGGATGCCACTTCTCAGAGGACCTTCTTATTTACTTGAAAGTTAAATGTAGATAGGAGATCTAGTGCTTTATCTTCTACTTCGACAGAATCAGAATTATCCTCTCCATTAAAGGATTAAGAAAAGTTAGCAAGTTGACGTATGCATCTCTAAGGGTTGTACTGCATACCATCTCTGCTGTATCTCCACATCTCTAAGCATTACATGGTTACTCTAGAATTTCTACAGGCCATAGTTGTTACCCGGTAGTATCACATCCACAACTCTATCTTCAGTGTCCTACTATTAATATGATTATTTTGATTCACATAAAACATTTCAAATGAACTTGTTTTCATTGTGTAGGAAATCAAGCCATTTGAACATCCTTAGTTATCTTGATATACCAGAGTAAATGACAAATAATTTTAGCTTTTTGTAGATCATTTGTTTTTATATTTTGTGAAATAGGAGTGTTTTCATACCATATATATATATAGATATCATTTAAGAATTGAATGTGTTAAAAGGCCTGAGCATCTAATCCGTAAGCTAAAGGCAACATGTGCGTAGGTCATGACGTTCACAACCCTTTTGGAGTCCATTACGCTCGTGCTGGACAACTAGCATGTGAAGTCCAACCCTGTATAAGCCTTTCAACTACTGATGTGTGAAAAGAATGTGAGCATCTAATCCAAGAAGTTAAGGCAACAGATGGAGCAGCTCATGACATTTATAAACTCTTCTGGAAATTCTTAGAATACTCATGTGGGACAACTATATGGCTCAATAGGTCTCGCAGGTCTAACTAAATTTTGGTTTTAATCTAATGATAAAAAAAATTGAATATCTGACCCAAATTATTAAAAGAGAAATGCTTAGTTCATCACAGGCAGAAGTGGAAAAGGAACACATTTCTTCTGTCTGTGTGTCTATTAGAAAAAATCATAGAATGTATATCCTACATAAATGTTCTGCATTCATCATGCATCTCTTTGGCTTGTTTATGATGTATAAAAAGGTAGAAAACCATTTAAATGGCCTCTTGCTTGAAGAAATACACCTCCATCACTACTCAGGTGCCTTCTTTATTTTTGGACACAACTGTCGAGTGAAGAGTTGAAGTTTAATCATATTTCCAATGAAAGTGAGGAATTACTTTCGAAGAGTTTAGGACTTTCTATTTTGTTTAGGTGTGCAAACTCTTCACTTCTGGTGCCGCACCCGTGTCGACCCGACATGGGTGCGGGATCCATACTGGATATGGTCAGTAGATTTAGAGTACTTTGACCACAATTGATCAAGAAATTCGAGACATTTAGAAAGATTTCTGAAATCAAATTAAATGCTGGTGAAATCATAATTTAGACATCTATTTTAATTATTAAAGGATATTTGTATTAAAAAATTCTGCAACCACAAGGTGCTTTAAAGAACTTACCGTCTTACCATGTTTAACTTTTGTGTCTGCAGCATATTACAGTGATATCTGTGTAGGTTCGATTGCATGTCGCATTGAGAAGAAAGAAAGTGGGGCTGTTCGTGTTTACATAATGACTCTGGGTGTTTTGGCTCCATATCGTGGGTTAGGGACTGGTAAGTGCTCTCTTATCCAGCTCTCCTTGTTCAAAGTTGATATAAATTTCCATGGTTTTCTTTTCCACTTTGACTGCTCAAATTTTATTATTATGGCATCAACCTTCAACTTTGCTGTTTCCGCTTCATCATTGAAAAATTAGGTATTTACACCATTTCAAAGCACAAAACAGAAACTTATGATTAGTTATTTAACTCTTTGACAAAATGAATAGCAAACAGTACAAGTCGATGTCATCTCTCTCGACACATCTCAATAGTATTGAGCTGGGTCACCACCTTTTTTCCGGTGCAGGTACAAAGCTGTTGAATCATGTCCTTGATCTTTGTGCCAAGCAGAATGTTACCGATATTTATTTGCATGTGCACACAATTAATGAAGAAGCCATCAATTTCTATAAGAAATTTGGATTTGAGGTTACTGATAAAATCTCAAACTATTACACAAACATTACCCCACCAGACTGTTTTGTCCTGACCAAGGTCATCACTCAAACAAAGAAACAGACGGCCTGAGCTGTTTGATTGAGTCGTCTTTGTCACGCCTTTACAACATCTTTGAGGTTCTGAGCCCTTTCTGGTTCAGAGCTTGTGCTATTTATGGGCAATATGCCCCTATTGAATTGTGACTGAGTTCCCCCTCCCCTCGTCCTCGTCTTTTGGTAAATTATCTTTGATGTGCAACAGAACTACAGTTGAATGATTTCCCTGTAATAGAAATAGTACATTGCAATGCAAACATTCAAGTTAGTTAGTTAATGATTTTGTCGTGAGGAATTACTTTCTAATGAAACTATGTGGATTTTGCAAGCTTCATAAATGAGTTATATCAATTGCAAACAGGAAGTATGAAGGATTAAGCAATAACATATTTGTTGTCTATTGTTTATAGCAACTTGTACCTGGGTGAACAATCCAAATTAGTCGAGCCAAGCACTATTCTTGCTGTAATTGGTAACATAATATTAGTCCCTCTTCAACGTAGGTACATGTCAAAATCTTTGGCATGAAAATTCTAATTAAGTTTATCATCTTTTGATTACTTGTTAGCATGTTAAAAGTTGTTGATAATCAAAATTAATGTTTGATCTATCTTAAATAATTAAATACTGAAGAATCTCTAGTTAATCTTTTTTTTTCTCCTTGTAAAAAACAACTTGTCTCTGCCCATCACTATTATACACTACAATATCAAATTAAATAGTCGGTCAAACAGGTTGAAAATTTCATATATTATTACATTCTATGAGCGTAAGGTGCGATGAAATGACAAAAAATTTCATTATCAAGTATTAAATTTCAATTTGAGATTTTAAGGAAGAGTACTTTGATCTACTAGGCAATAAATTTAAAATAAGTTTGACCAAGAGAATTCAGAGCCAATCTAAAAGCTTCTTTTGATGTCTATTATTTATGAATTTTGTCATTTGGTACATAAATTAAGAATAATAAGTATTGGCTAATTTCAAATTATTTATTCGATTAAAATGATTATTAAATTTTACTTATCTTATCTCATATATTAAATAATTCTAACAATGTAAGCTTATAACGTCAAAATTACTCATTCAACCGGTTTAGTATAGTAACAATTTTAAATCAATGCAAGCCAAAATAGTAAATATAATACTCCATTTATTTTGAAATTATTATCACATTTTGCTTTTCGAAAATCATCTAACAAAGCTCTTTTATTTATTTATTTTTTCAATTTTTTAATGTCTGCCAAAGAAAATAGAAAAACAGCTCATTTCTCACTTCAGACCAAAAGTTGTCCACTTTCCATCCACAACTTTGTTATTTCTCTTAATTTTATAACATAAATCCTCTCCTGTCTCCACGTCATCATCACCTGATTCGTTTAGATACTAATAATGAGTAATTTCTCTATTTCAAAAAGGATAATTTAATTTAATTTGAATAGAATTTAAGAAAAAAATAAAACTTTTTAATTTTGTAGTTTTAAATTAAAGTTATGTCATGTATATGAAAATGTTATTTAATCTTATAGTCTTAAACATGTCACGTGAAAAGTCAAAGTTAATGTATTGCCAACAAAAGTAAATAGGTCATTCTTTTTTCAAATCGGTCAAAAAGAAAAGAATGTAATTTTTTTTTAAACGAAAGGAGTATTACAATATAAAATTGTGAGATGAAATTAATGTTTGGATATGTAATTTCACACTGATTTTTTTTCTTATTCACGGAATATCATATTTTTCAAAATCCTAATTTGAGAATTTCATATTATGATTTAAAACTTTTTAAATATAAAAATTAACTCACAATTTTATATTTTATTAAAACAACCTCATCTTTATATCAACTAGCTATTTATTTCATATGTAAATAAAATTTATAATCATATTATTATTTTTAAAATGTATTACTCTTGTCAAAATAAAAATTTATTATTACTTTAAATCATTTCCTACTTTAATATTTATATTCATCAAATTCATTATCTTTTATCAAATTTATTTATCAACCAAATTTATTGCTATTACTTTGATGTTTGATAAAAAAAATCATTTTTATTAAGTGAAAAGACTGATCATAATGATTTTGTAATAAATTATTATGTGATTTTATAAATTTTTATTTATTTAGTAAAATTAATTAAATAATTGAGACTGTTTTAATAGTTTTTACAACTTATTAAAATTTTGTTTTTATGAGAAATATATAGCACAAAAACTCTAAATCGCATGTTAAAACAAAAGTTAAGCTCCAACTCATTATTTCATATTACATGATCAAACGGACATTTAACATTCAGTACTTTTTAATTAAGTACTCTAATTATTTGTTGATATTCTACTCGTCTTATGCCGCAAAAATAAAAGGATAAAAAATATGAAAGGTTCTTCTTTCTTTCTTTTTTTTTAATCACGTAAATTTACTAAAAAATATAAAGTGTTTCTGATATAAGAAATTTTGTATATTTCCTCAGTAATCCTCTTAATTGATAAGGAGCTCAATGCATATTAGTAGGTTTTATTATCTACCTAAGATGAATTTGAATTAATTAAAGCTTCGAATTTAAATATTAAAAGTCTAAAATTCACATCTAGAAATCTTTTAAATTGTATATGGAGGAAACTTCAATTTAAAAGAACAATATAATTACAGTCTAGTTGTTTAACAAAGTGTATACTTTCAAATAACAATCCACTAAAAGTAAAAAATGTGTAGAGAAAGAAAGATATGATGATGAAATATATTCCTCCATATATAGGTCAAAATAATTTTTTTTGGGAAACTTCCTTATTTGTTTGAGGCTATCGTGTGAAGTAAAAGTCTCAATAAGTGAGAAATTATTTCCATGCCTACTTTGCGTCATAATGTGTCTGTGTGGACATAATACGTAACATATCTTACATTTTATATCTTAATATATAAAGGAAAAACGTCTGATATATTCTTCAATTTTGTCATTTGGAGTTGATATGTCTCCATTTAGAGAAAAAAAGTATATATGAGTCATTTGTATATAAGTAAGGATATATATGAATCACTTTCATAACAAAGTTGAGGTGTATATCGCATTCTTTTCCTTATAGGTAAAAGAAAATATCTTTTTTTAGATTGTCCTTTTAAATATTTGATCGTAACTAATAATGTATATAATGTTTTTGTTTGTTTTTAACAAGGTGTGAATAGTAAATAAGAAGAGAAAATAAAAAAAAGTGAGGGAATCAATTTTGGAGAGAAAATTAAAAGTCATTATAAGTTGCAAATGAAAAGTCATTTATCTTATATTGATATAAAAAAAGGAAATTGTTATCATTATATTAGGAAACACTTCCTTTATTTCTTAAAGGGTTAGAAGAAGGTGTTCCCTCGCTTCGTCGTCATCGCTCGACTTCGCCAAGTGCTTGATTGATAATATTTTCGGACAAAATTTATTTAGTCAATCTTGTTAATTGATTTTCTTTCTCTTATAAACTAATTCAGAATGTTAGTTAGATAACATAATTAACTTGGCGTAATGAAATTTATTTGAAATTCACGCGTAACGATAAAAACGTCCAGAAGGGATCTGTTCCTTCAGAAAAGTCGTTACTTTTTCCAAAAGACACAACGTTCTTGAAAAAATGGGTTTGAACAGACGGGTTCGTTACTGCAAATGACTATAAATAAGAGGTCTTTTTTGTTTTTCAAACACTGAAAATTTTTCCTCTCTGCATACATTTTCTTACATAAACAAAATTGTCAATCGACTGAGTCTGTGTATGCTCTCGAGGATGTTTTTGCGGGTTCGCTGAAGATAGTGAAGTTTGAAGTATCGCTACTTCTCTAATAGTTAATTTGTTTTATCTTGATATGAATTATTCTGTAACATAGGGTCCTTGAGAAGATTCAATTTCTTAATAAAACACAGTAATTACTGTGGAGTCGAATTAATATTTTCTGTCTATTTTCATTTATTTTTAATTTTTATTTTTGCTAATATGCATACATGATTAACAGTTTTTTTTGTAATTTACATTTATCATAAAGAATGGACGTAGGTATGTGTATAGTTAAGATAATTAAATCAAATTTTTGTACGTTTCTTCGTACTGAATTTTTGAAATTTAATTTTCAAAAAAAGAAAAAATATTTGTGATTTAAAATTGATGAATCCCTTTCTTTTTACATTATAAATTACAATCACCTTTTCAAATCAATGAAGATGACATTTCCCTTTTTTTGTAGTATTTTTGCTCTGCAGAAATTTCCTAATAAGTACATTTAGTATCGTGCAGTAGTGTCTTCATTTAATTTTTCCTACTAATGAGTGGCTCGATTGATTTATCAATTATTTTTATTCATACAGCTACTTAATGAACGTACTGAATATACATTTATAAACTTTTTAGAAAATTTATAGATGATTCTATCAACAAATAATAATTTACATAGTATTTATTCGATTTAGCTTTAGGTGGTCAAGGGAATAAAATCTTTAGATTTATTGGACTAAGTTTAATAAAATAATTTTTTTAATATAATAATATCAAAAATATCGTGTTCATTCAACCCCAAACAGGCGTAGGGGCCCAAATATAACCGTGTACCCATCTAATATAAAGTGCAAACTTAATTATTAAGATTTATAGATGTTATTATTAGTTATATATTGTGGTCACACTTTTTCTTCTCATTGTTGACAACCAAAATAATATTAATTACTCATATTTGACTTCGATTATTCGTTTAAACAATCCAACTATTCGACAGTCTTACGGACTAGCGGCTCTAGTAAATTGGTAATTTAAAGTTAAATTCGAATAAAGGTCTAAACTTGAATATGAATATATATCTTTTATAAAGTTTATTATAGTCAATAATTTAAATTTTCTTGAGACATAGTATTTATAATTGGGAAAAGGGTCTGATATACCCCTCAACTTTGTCATTTGGAGCTAATATACCCCCGTTATAAAAGTGGCTCATATATGCCCTTACCGTTATACAAACGTATCACATATATCCCTTCCATTACAAAATGGCTCATATATACCTTTCATTTAACGGAAGTTTAAAAAATAATTTTAAATTGATATTTATTACTTGTAATTTTTTTTAAAAAAATTATTTAGGGATATATATGATTCTTCTATCAAAGTTCAAGGTATATTTTATTTTTTTCATATATAAATTATTTTTTGACTTTTTTTTTTATAATTATCTGAGTTTCTTATTCTTATGTTTTTTTCTTTCATTTCTTAGTTTAAAGAAAAAAAATTAAACTTTTTTGTGTGTGTATTGGAATTTAATTTTGTATTCGAAGAAAAAATTGGTCATCTACAATAAGTTTTACAAGAA